GAGCACAGGGTGAGTGTGCCCTGGAGCACACAGCACAGTGTGAGTGTGCCCTGGAGCACACAGAGCACAGGGTGAGTGTGCCCTGGAGCACACAGAGCAGGGTGAGTGTGCCCTGGAGCTCACAGAGCACAGGGTGAGTGTGCCCTGGAGCTCACAGAGCAGGGTGAGTGTGCCCTGGAGCTCACAGCTCCTTGTGCTGAGCAAGGAGCCCAGGGAAGAAAAATCCGGGCAAGCAGCAAAGCTGAGAGAATTGCAGCAGCACAGACACGACCTCCTGCCCTGTAACTGGAGCAGGATGGAGAGGAGAACCTTTCCTAATTTAATCCTGGGCAGCTTTGGCATCACAGAAGCAAATCAGCTGCATAGCTGCACGCAGCCCAGGGAATGATAAACAGGGCACAGAGAGGGCCTGAGCCGCAGAAGAAAGGCGACATTGTGCTGCCAACCAGAAACTCCTGAGGTTGTGAGACTCTTCTGTCTCCTCAGAGTGGCTGGGGCCCCTCCTCCTGCCTGGGCCAGCTCCCCTGGCTGGGTGACACAGAGCAGCCAGCAGCTGGGCTTGGCAGCACGCTCTGCTGTGCTGGGCACTTGTGGGAATCCATCAAGACAAGTTAGCAAGGCAGCCCCTGTCTGGATGCGCACGAGTGGACAAGGAAGGGGCATCAACAGAGACAGAGTGAGCAGCAACAGAGCAACAGTTTTGTCTCTCAGTTCTCTCAGAAAAGGATGATGCTTCCTCTTGGGGCAGGTTTGGTAGCAGGACAACACCCCAGCACAATCCTTTGGTTTTGTGCAGCACCTGTGCAACTGTACAGGTGTTACCAGCAAGGGGCTGTGCTCCTGAACGTCCCTCACACCTCCCTGCAGAGAGAAGGCTGTGCAGAGATGAAGGAGGAAAGGACATTTTAAATGCACCCCAGCACTGCCCAGACCTCTCTCCTCTCAGAGCTGAGCAGATGCTTTTGCAGAGGTAACTGAGAACAGCCTGGCCAACCTTTCAGTCATTTTCTGAAAGTCCTGCCCACACCTACAGCAGTGTCAAATGCAGCTCTGCCCTGACGATAGCCAGGCACATTTCTGAATCAATGAAACAAAACACCCCACACCTCTCCAGCCTGGGCAGGCAGTGTGTGATGCTGGAAGACTTTGCTCTGGTGCCTGGAGGTGACAGTAAGGGTAACAACCATCATGTGCACAGGCATCTTGAGGAACCAGGAGCGAGGGTGAACCCTCCTTTCCCCCAGGTGCCAGAGCAAAAATGCAATTTGGGATTTCCAATGAGCACACTTTCCTACCACATTATCCAAGGCTGAAGACTTAAGCTGCCTGTCTCATATCCTGAAACTGAGAGAGGAAAACTGAAACCTGTCCTTTTTTGGCAATGCTGGCTGCCAGCTCACTCTGCAACCCTGTTAATTATTTATGTTTTTCAGGAATATGCCTCTCTATTAAAACAAAGCCCAGCTCCCTGAGCTGTGTGAGGCAACCTGGTGTCCCTCGCCCCAGGAATCAGGCTGCAATTAAGTTATTAGAGATGCTGTGGGAAGGGCACAATGGGATTACAGACTCAGGGTAATTAATTTGGGCAGAGTCACAGAAAAACTTAATCCCCAGGCTGGGAGAAATTTCAGTTGGTGGTTGGGAGGACAGCAAGCAGCTCTGCACAGAGCTGTGCCCATGGATCCCTCTCCACCTCCTGCAGCTGGTACTGGTGAAGCACTGGCCTCTGTTTGCAGTCAGGGGGACTCTGCCGACCCTCTGGGCACACACAGTGCTGCAGCAAGGGCAGGAAATTTTGCTTTATACAGCCAAAGAGAAAAGTGCCCAGGCCACAAATGCACCTCTAACCTGGCCACTGCACACCACAGCTGGCCACTCTCCAGATTCATTGCTCTGGGAAATCTCTAGACCCAGGCTCCAGCTGGGACCAGCACTCCAGAGCCCATGCTCTAATGCAGAACAGATCAATGGCCTGATCTGGTTCTGGGCTCTGGAAAGTGGCTGATGCTGCTGCTGCTGCCAGGAAAGCCAAAGCTGCAGGCACACCTGAATGCTCCTTGGTGTGGCTGGATGGATACACCCTCCATTACCAGATCTGGAGATCTGAGTGTAGGGCCAGCAGCCTGCTCCCTTTCCCCTGGGGACTCCCAGAGGCTCCTTAATTTGTGCAGGTCTCTAATCACCTTGAGGAATTTAGTGAGCTGGCTCCATTAACTGAATGCCCCCTGGCTGGTGTCCCTCTCATTAGAAGCAGGCTGCATTGCTCCCTTATCTGAAGAGGAATGATGAGATAAGGGAACAGGGGAGGAAAGAGTAATTGAGGCATGAAGGAAACAAAGGGAGTGTTTACCCCAGCCTGCAAGGGTCACCAGAGAGGGTCTCTGTTCATGGAAGTGCCACTGAAGTGGAGAAATCTCCACCTAGGACATGCAGAAAACCTTAATCCCCTTTTGGATAGCAAAAGCCAGAGCAAGAGCAGTGTGACACTTCTGTATGTATTTGCTCATTGAATGATTGGCCCTACACACCCCAGCCCTGAATAAACTTCACTTTTCAGGAAGGTAGAGGGCTGCCTGGAGCCTTAAGGAGTTGTGGAGACACCAAATTACCTGGAATCTGGACACTCCAGTCTTTCCAGATGATTACTCAGGTCTGTAAGTGTCATTAAGCAGGGAGTGGATTTCTAGTAAAGTGAATTAATTTCCAGCCATACTTCCCTGCCTTTCATTTTTGCTGTTCAGGTTTCTAGCCATAACTCCTCTATCCCAAAATGATGGAGAAAGGCACTCACCTCTGGCATCCATGGGACAGGGCTGCCAACAGCTGCATAATTTGATTTATTCCTCCCACCTATTTGCAGCTCTTGGACCTGAAATACAAGCAGAGAAAAGTCAAAATACCCTGAAAAATGGCACCGCACTGACATGTACAAGGTGGTTGTACACAAGCTCTACAAGAGGGTTCAAACCTCATCACAAGAACATATGAGAAAATAAAACAAGTTTTCCAGCTCCCTTTCCAAAGGACAAACCAGATATCATGGATGTAACAGGGTGAAAATGCTCCCTGGTTTTTTTGACAGCATATTTACATGGTGAGCTGCTGGGGGAAAAGGATACCAGGTATTTTATAACTGCTTGCTAGAGTTAACTTTAGCACAGAGTTAAAACTTAGGTCATTCTCTGGGGTTTTTTTTCCCCATCTATGTTTCAAAAATGTTCAAGCAAGAGCTCTCCCAGCACTGCCTTCACTCAACAACACTGAGATGGGTTTCACTGGAGAGCAATGAACTCTCTGTTGACCTTTCACTTCTGCTTCTATCTTGCCTTCCTGTGCCACAAGACCAGCCAGCCTCATCCCACTGCTATGGCTTGGTACATCCAAAACACCTTAATTGGCTACAGTGGGGCCATTGTAGGCTCACATTGCTGTGACTTAGCTCAGAATTTGCCTGTGGCAAGCTCTCCTTCCTGTGAGAAGTAAGATTGGTCTCTTGGGGCCAGCATCAGAAAGGAAGGGCTGCCCTTCTGCACGTTCTGCTCCTCACCTGGTGTCCCAGCCTCTGAGGATAGTCCAGCTGAAGGCTCGTGTCCCCATCTGGGCCACTGGGGTCTGACAGAACCTTGGCAAGCTCCCTCCAGCTCTCATATCCTGTGCAGAGGAAACAGAAAGGTGTCAGGAAAAAGAAAGGTGTCAGGGAATTTTTTTTCTTAGAAAAGAAAATGTAGCAGTCACCAGTATGAACTGGTCTTGCAGGGCTGAGAGACCTATAACAGTGTGGAATGGTCCAGCAGAGATGTGGAGTTGTTTTATGTTGTTTGGAATTTGCAAACTGGCACAGAGAGAAAAATTGCCCGTACTTTCCTTAAAAGCTCTTCCCTCCTTCTTATTAATTTAATACTTCAATAAAGCTTCATAGTTCTAAGATAGATATCAGAGATTTCATTAATCACCACACAACTAGGAACATTCTTTAAATTACTCAGATAAAAAAAAAATAGGCAACAAATCAGTTCACCCCTGGAGATTAATGGAGGGAAGACACCAAGAGCAGCAGGATTTTTCCTCTTGTGCAGAGGGGAGAGGTTATTTGGTTTCATTGTCCCACTCAGCACCTCACTGCCCTGTGGAATAAGCTCAGGACAAAGCATCAGTAACCTGTTTCTTTTGGGAAGGGCTGCTGGCCACCAGAGCCAGCCCCCTTGGCTGCTCCAGCATCCTGGCATGGAGCCTGCCTGCCAGCAAACACAGAAGCCTGGCTGCACACAAGTGCCAATGGCTGACATCTCTTTGACCCTTGGAAAAGAGAAGAAAGGCAGGCAATTCTCTGTGTTGTACAAATATTTACCTAACACACCAGCCAAGCACAGAGCAGACAAAGGAGCTACGAATGAATCTGGAGGCAGTGATTTCCTTGCTGGGTAATTTGTGCTTTGACAAGCCAATTCTCCAGCGTGGTAGGAAATGATTTTCAGAATATAATAGGATCAACACTCCCCTTAGGGAAGGTTCTTGGCACTCCACTTCTGTAAAGATTGGCTTTTCCCTAGGGGTCTCCACAGGACACCCTTGAAGAAGGACCTGGTTTTGCCCCTGCTTTCCTCACTAAAGGGAGGAAACCACAGAAAATTCAGATCTCCTGCAGCTTCCTGAAGTCAAAACACCTCCCAAGGCCAACTGCTCACCAAGGTTTTCTCCACAGCACGTCACAGGATTCAAGGCACGACCCTGCAGGTCCCCACTGCTGTGTGACAGCTGCAGAGGGGAGCCCTGAGGCCACATCCACTGCCCTCTCAGGAGCACCTGGGCAGGTGAATCTACCACAGGTTCAGCCTGTCCTCAAGCTCTCCCTGAGCACTGCTCACTGCCTTGAGCACTCTCTTGATGGTTACTTAAAGTCAAGGCCTAGAAAAAAGCAGGAGTCAAGAGCTAAAATACCTCAGCAAACATGAGTGCTGCTAAGAAGGAAGGCCAGGACTACTAGTTTTGGTGGTTTTGCTCCAGTCCCTCTACAAAACTGGTTCTGGCTAAAGAAAAAGAAAAACCATGAAGGCAGAAATCAAAGGCTTGGGAAGAGCCTGTCTCAAAGTCAGGGGAAGATGCTGGGCCAGGCCTTGCTGCCATCAGCCTGTCAGATGCACAAGACAGCTCCTTGCCTTTCTCTCTTCTGGGCTTCACTTCCCAAAGTATTTCCCACCACGTTCCAAAGCATTCCCCATCCCTTCCCAAAGCACACCAGGTGTTTTCCAAGGCTGTTTTTTCACCTCAAACACCTTCAAGGAAGGCAGCACTGATGCAGGCACAGCTTGCCAGAAGCAGCAGCCAGACTTGCTGCCACATCCTCCCACCTCCTTGGAATCAGTCTGATCTCCTCTCTACAAGCAGAAGTTCACTTTTCTACTTTTGTACCCCAATGGTCCCTCACAGGGATCAACCAGAGCCGTGAAGGTGGTTCTTGCTCAGAGAAAAGTGGCTCTTTTTGTCCCTGTTCCCATCAGGTTGGCTGCTGAGGATCCAAATGCCCAGCAGGGCCAACCCTCAGCTGCTCCTCTGGATTCATGACGAGAAGCCCTCAGGATCTGAGCTTCCTACTGGAAATAAGAGGTAGGTGAATACAAAGAAAAGGCAAAGAAGCTGAAGAGGAGGCTGGAACAGATGCTGCATCCTGCAGCAGAGCCCCCGCAAGAGGCAGTCAGTCTGGAGCCAGCTGCTCACAGCTCCAGTGAGTCGACCATTAAGAGACAGAAAAGCTGTACCAAGAGAAAATAAGATTGAGATGGTTCTTGCCTAGGGTCTGGTCATGTCTGCCTCTTCTCAGCCATGTTTTTTACTGCTCTTGGGTTAAAAGTCAGCAAAGGAAGCTGCAAGTGCAGATGAAGAGATCTCACCCAGCAGTTATGACTCTGCCAGAGCAATGCACTTGAAGCCCAGGTCAAGAGGAAAAAAAATTAAAAAATAAAAGCAGAAAGCCACAGCCAGAGATAAGAGCCAGCAGCACCCAGGGAGCTCTCAGGCCTCAGGGCAGGAGTGTGACCAGAGCTGCTGTGTGTGTTCAGAGATTAGATCCACTCAGCCACTGCCATGCCCCTGGCCCCAGACTGCACTCCACATTTCAATTAGCCCATGAAGATACCTGGCAGTGGTGCAAGAGGAAATCCCAGACCCACTCAGGTGATCAACTTCCCCTCTGAAAGATGAGATTTGATTACTCTGCTGTTGTTACTGCTGCTTACATAGCTGCAAATGCTATTAACACCCCCATTGTAGCCAGCCCTTTTATAACCCTGCTAAATGATTTCACTCAGCAGCCTCAGGAAAGAGCAGGTCTACAGGCTGTTTTGTACAAAAGCATTTTCCTTCTTATGAGATCCTTCTCCTCTTCATTTTGTTACAAGGATAGGGCAAGAATTAAACTGGCAGGAATGCAGCAGGGTGTTGTTCTTCATTACCCCCAGCATCCACAGACCCCTCACTGTGGCTTGATGCTTTAACCCTCACGTGGATGGTCTTATTTCTCCTCTTATTCTGGTTGAATATTTTGAACTTACTGCTATTCCATGGGACTTGAGCATCATTTGAGGTTTTTTCCAGTGCTCCTCATGGCTGAACAGGAATGCAGGTGCAATACCCAATACCCCCTGACATTACCACTAGGCAATGTGTGTGGCAAACACACTAAAAAAAATGCTGTGAAGGTTGCTTGAAACTGAATATAAGAAGGTGTGAGAGGGTTTGACATGCATTTCACACACCACAGCAAACCCTACTGCTGGTGCCACTCTGCAGAGGAAGCAATGCCCATCTATCTCCTGGCCTACCACACACACCAACACAGCCCCACAACACCAGAAACCATGAGGATGAGGAGGAATCTGACCTTCCACAAACAGAGATGTGGGTGAAGGATACAGTGAAAAGAGACAGCCAACAGTTTCTGGACAGATGGGTGAATTAGGTCAAGTCATGCATCACAGACGGGGTAAGAGAAACTACCAAAAACCCCAATTCAAGGGTGGGGCCAGGGCAAAGGATTCTCTGGATACTTATTTAGGTCAGTTAAAAGGACAGACAGAAAAGAGTGAACTTCTTGTCCTCAGGTCAAGATTGGAACATCACTCCTGCAGCTAAAAGGATTCAAGGAGCATGAAACCCAGTTGTTACCCCTGCAAACTATTCCATTTCTGGTTAGTGCAGAACCCACAAATAAGACTGCTGACCTCCTCCAGGGACAAAGCTCAGGTTAGGAACCTTGTGTGCAGAAATAAATTACTCCATTCTTCCTCCAGGTAGAACTCTGATTCACTGCCATATGAATGGCTTTGCAAACTGACAATAAGCTGCAGAACATTAAAGGTACTTGAAGTATGATGGAGGAAAAGGCAGGGCACTGCACTTGGGAAGGAGAGGAAAATCAGCAGACATGAACTGCCTGATGCAGTCTCACTGCCAGACTCACCCACAAATAATACCTTGCTGCTGCTCCCCTCTAGGTATAGGAAATGTATTTTATGCAGCAAGTGATGAGGAACTGATAAACAGTGGCTGGAGCAGTAACTGGTTTCACAGAAAATACAATTAAATTCTTGTTTCTGTCATTAAAATTTTCCACTGCCCTAGTAAAATCATTAAAACCAGCCATGCCACAATTATCTAGCAAATATTGCCTGCTGTCTGCAAGCTCAGTGAGGATATGACACATGGAAATGCAGTGCTGGATTTGAGTGAGAAACACCCTCATGCAGCAAAATTACAGGGCTGAGCTCCTGTCAGCTCCAGAAATGCCTCTATTTCCACCTAGAACGTACTAGAACAAAACTACTGCAAACTCTTACTTGTCTGCATGTTCCACACTGAAGGCACAGGAGGCTCAGGAGCTCCTGTGAGCAGGGAAGGGTGAGCACACAGCCAGCTGAGTTGCCACAGCTCTGGCTGTGCAGTCACAGCCCCTGCCCCAGGTGACTTCTGCCCACAGGATCCTCTCCTGCCCATCCTCATCTCTCCAACAACACAACTGAATCTCTCCTCTCCCCCACTGAGGGGTCCTGAAGGATTAGATTAGGCAAGGGGGAAGAGCAGAGCTCTCTGTATTTCAGGAGAAAGAGGAAACATTGGTTCAAATGAAGACTGAGCAGAAGAGCCCCTACTGCTGCATTCAGCAGCATAAGATGAAAGCCCATGATTTTGGCACTGCTAACTTCTGCAGCACAGCAGGGAGAAATGCTGGCTAGCCTGTTACTCTCTTGAGGTATTCCATGGGCCATCTTAAACCACATAAAACACATATAGAAGCTTTTAAATCATAAAATATATTTTCAACATTATGACCATAATAGCTGTGCAGTTAAAATCCTTAACTGCTGGCAAGTTGCACTGTTTAATTTACAGAACATGGCAATTGTGCTGCAATTATGGTGTGCTTGTCCCTGAGACATTGTGCTGCACACAGGCTGCCTCTGTGTCTGCCTCTTTGCACAATATTGCCATCAAAAGCAGTCTCTGCTTTTACAGTCTTCAGGCACAGCTACAGAATTCTCTAAAAAGCTATAGAGTTCTCAAACAGCCAGTCAAAGAGGGCTGATTCCAGCCATGCCAAGAACAAAGGTATTTGAGTAGTTCCCATCATGGAATCACACTTACCAAGCCAGCCTTTG